TTGGGTGTGTGTGGGGAGGGAGGAGGGGGGGGGGGGGGGGCACAATGTTTTTTGTGCCAAGTTCAAGGCCTTTTTCCCCTATAATGATAATCTAATCATAAAAAATATGTATAGATAAAATACAAAAAAAAACTTAAAAAATGTTTTGAATAAAAAGGCAAACAAAAAAATACGAGCAAGTTTCCCAACTTTCGCTATAATGATTCCACATAAGGAAGGACTTTCTCTCTTTTCTCCTTTTTTTAGCACCAAAAAAAAAGGGGAAAAACCAATGGGGAACAACCCATTCCCACCACTGGTTTCCAGTTGAAGCCCCCCAAAACGGTTTCCTTGGGGGGTTTGGGGGAGGGGGGCCTTTACAGGGGGTTGGGGGGTTTTTTTTTTAATTTTTTTTTAAAATTTTTTGTGGGGGGGGGGGGGGGGGGGGGGGGGGGGGGGGGGGGGAGCACAATGTTTATTGTGCCAAGTTCAAGGCCATTGTACCCTATAATGATAATCTAATCATAAATAATATGTATAGATAAAATACAAAATAAAACTTAAATAATGTTTTGAATCAAAAGGCTAACAAGACAATACGAGCAAGGTTCGCAACCTTCGCTATAATGATTCTACATAAGGAAGGACTTTCTCTCGTTTCTCTCTCTTGTATTCGCTGGATAAATATCGCCAAAATTATCGCTAAAATAAAAATGGCAAAATAAAAATGTTCTTAACTTACACTTTGCCGTTCTAAGTACGCTCTAAAAGAGTTCTTACAAAAGAAGCACTGTATTATTTACATTCAATCTTAAGTGAACTGAAAGACTTGCCGCGATTAATCATCGACGCTCCACACGGATCAGATTTCGTGACAATTCTTAACTATCTCGTCAGTCGCCAAAAAAATGGCCGTTGTCGAGAGGTTATTTTGGCAGTTGGGGACGCGCTTTAGTTGCCATTGCCGTTATAGAGAGGTTTAAACAAGAGTTAATGCATGGACTGTTCACCGGAACAAAATCGTGGCAGTTATAGAGAGGTGGTCGTTGTGGAGGTGGGACTGTACGCCTGATCGAATGACGGTCATTAAATATTTATTTATTTACTTATGAAATTGACCACGATGGTATTCTTTAGTAAGGCGCACAGTTATATCCGTTCAAACCTTTATACCGCTTCCGCTTTGATCAAGATCTTCAGTGATCGCCTTTTACTCGTTAGTGGATGACAAGGCATACAGTTTCGTAGTAGTCCGGCTTACTCTCAAAAGAGCGTGAGATATGAAACGCACTATGCGCCCAAATTCCGCCGGTACAAACCGTTGCGTGGTAACGAGCTAGGATGATATCAACGCAGTAAGTATCAGTCACGTTTTAAATTCGCTGCAGGCACAACCGAGTTTACAAATTTCTCAGCCCATCGATTATAAGACAAAAGTAATTCTCAGCACTCCAGCACTTTCAGTACTTTTAAAGCGAAAGACGAAACATTTTTTATGTTAAAAGAAACTCTGAATAGTAGTCTGTTTGATATATAATAAAGGCGTGGATGTTTACTTACTTTTCCTACCAGTAAACTACCAGCCAGTGCCTCCAGGTCAGATGACATCACCACCAAGCCCTTGATAGCTTTCTGAAGGTTCTGCAAACTTGTTCTAATTATAGACATCAGCCTGAAAAGCAACAAACAAGAAACCAGTCATAGTTGAACAAGTTAACGCTCTAGTCAGGGCGCACATGTCTCCAACGCCAACACTGTTAAAAAAATAGTCCACAGAGAGGACATGTGCCAACTGGCAATGAATAGTCTGTACTCCAGTAACCAGAAAAGACAGAGAGAGAGAGAGAGAGAGAGGGAGAAAAAAAATCTATTAAATATGGGCGATGCCGGGAGGACTTGAAATAATTTCCCGGCCGGAGCCGGTCTAGTTGTCTGGTCAAATCTATTTTTGCTTGGACACAACCCATTTTTGCCGGACAAATGTCTTTCCTCTAGGATTATCTGATTATACTTTACAGTAAAATACATACGGGCTATTATAAAAATACTTTACAACACTACACACGCTACTCCTGAATTTGCGGTGAAGACTTTAAAGAGGACAAAGCAATAAGTTTTTCATTCGCAACTCTCGGAAAATGAAAAACCACTGTTACCGCCCCGCCGCGAAGGGCTTCTCTTCTGAAATTTCGCGCGGTCGCAGAACATGTCAGTTCAACATATTTGAGACTTATCTCGGCTAATGGGGCTGTTCTTGCCATTTACTTGCAAATTTATCTTGAAACTTCGTCACTACAACGAGAAAGCGTCCCAAAACTACCGACCAGGTGTTTGTAGATTATTATTGCGAAAAACTGGGCACTGGCCAGTGCATGATATAAAAAGCTTTGCCATTGGCGCATTTCTGAGCTCATTGTTGTTAAAAGGGCAAATGATGATCACTGATAAGAAAAAACCTTGTGCGAGACAATACCAAGTCCAAAAGAGATCGCAAAGCCAGCGGGCGTTTTGAGCACCAAATCGCCGGTTCTAAAACGCAACATTTATAAGTAGTCGACGTTTCTGTTGTTGTTGTTGTTATTACACAGGCTAACGCTCATCATTTCCACCCCCCGGCAAAAATAGCAAATTTCCCGTTTTGTTTCATTAAAACCGTTCGTGAAATCACCGCAAAACCGATCCCTTTCAAGCGAAATTTGCCCAAAAAATTTCCCCGAAATTGGCTTTTTTTTTATAACGATCGTTTTTCCGCGAATTTGTCCCTGAAAATCCCACGAAATTTGACTTTTTTCCGCGACCTATCAGAGGCCCTGTGTTGTGAACGGTTTACGTTATAAAAGTTCTTGATCTGGCCGCCTTTCTCTCCCTCCCCCCCAACTTTTTTCCTTCACGAACTTCAATAATGTCTAATCTTGACAAATCGTATTTAAAAAACCTGTGAACGTCTGAATTTCATTAGAACCATAAAAGAGCGGACAAAATGTTCGGCCATCCAAGGATTTGACCGGACAAAACCTATTTTTGACCGGACATTGTCCGTTGACCGGCCGTTATTTCAAGCCTTGGCCGGTTATCAAAAACTGTCGTTACTTCTTAGCGTTTCAATTTTGTCTGTAACTTCTAACTTGTTTCAAATTTATTTCCTTTAATCTAATTATCCTCAAAATGATTTACGAACTTTAATTTTATTAAATTGTTGAGCTTAAAAAAAAGAAAAAAATAATCTTTTAAATTAGTTGCAAAAAAAAGGGCGATAGCAGGTATCGAACCCTGTACTTTTACCCCAAAGATTACGCGTTAATGCCGTGCGCTACACGAGGAGGACACTAAGCAAGAGAAAAATGAACGACTAAACAGATCAATCAATCAATTAATTCACTTACTTATTAAACCTCTCCATCTCTTGTACGAGCACAGTGTTCATGCTCTCTTCATACGTGACTGGGTATTTTTTCAGTGCTTCCTCCAAGTCATAATTCTTTGGAAGCTAGTTTGAAAAAATAACAGAACCACTTTAGCAGAAAATATAGATTTTTAAATAGAGTGTAATAGAGAATAAGCTAACTGTAAGATCATCAAACCGTATTTGGAGTATTGAGGTGTATTTACCTTGGACAGAATGTCTTTTGCAATCTCCAACAAAGTGTCGTCAGACCTCTTGCCCGCCCCTCCACTGCCACTCTGAGACTGAGTCAGGAGCACTGAGTCAAACAGCTAGAAATCAAACAAGAAGAAAATTACAGTCATTTCACCTTAAAGGACTCCTACTTAAGACGGACACCAGAGTTGGTGCCTGCCGTTGCACAGTGATATTCTTTGACTTTTCATGTGACAAACACCAAGGACCGGTGCAAAGGTGGCCGTTTTAGAAGAGTTTACTGTGACAATACACCCCGACTGCACACATCAGTAAGTATGATACCTGTTTAGTCTCCTGCAGTTCCTTGGATATGTCCACATTGTCATGCATACCGAATACTTCGGGTGTCTGGGATAAGGGAAGCTCCTGCAATTAAAATCAAAAGCGTTAATGGCAAGTTAACACAGCACATACCAAGGCTTGCTTACTATTACTGTACCTTGATAAATTCCACGTACTGATCATATTCGCTCTTTGGAGGAGCGTAGTAAGTGCCACTTTGAGAGAACTTGTATTTAGGGTCTTGTACGATGTCTGGACTGTAGAAGTCGGCTAAGATGCTCATCAGGCACCGTCTGAAGTTAAAAAATAATTAGGCGTTCAAACAACCACATAATCACAATGTATGATTAAAGGGAGTATAAGTTTAGCTCGAAAGTAAAGGAAAAGAAAGGAAAGAAGTCATTGTGTCTCGAACGCGAACTGTAACAGCAACAAATAGCATTACATGGTCTGCGGGATTCGAGCCCAAGAGTCATTAGGAACGAGAGAGTACTCTAGCCCTAAACTTTGCAACGTTTTTCAGCTACAGTACATTTCTTGATTTATAAGTCAAGATATATACTCTCTCAGCTGTAGATAGCTTTAAGAGAAGTTATTTGTTCGATCCTGGGTACAAACCTGTCATTATCGTCTGTAACTCTGCCTCCATAGTTACACTCCCCGGTGAGATAGGTCAGAGCATCGAATGGAATCTCTTCGTACTCATTGATAAACATCTGGAAAGGATATATAAATCAGTCGCTTCGACTCTAGATAAATCGCGCCTAAAGGCTGGTTTACACGTGCGACGCTATTAGAAAAGCATCATACGCAGACCTTTTCGCGCTGAAAATGTACTTTAGACGTTACGTTACTGTGTCTGTTTATGATGCTTGTCCTTCTGCTTGTGTCTCTGTACATTAACATATCAAGAACTAGTTGTACAAACCTGCAGCTGTCGGACGCTGATTCGTAGATCAGACTCGTTAAAGCCGTAAGGTATGTTCCAACCAAGCGGACCAAATTTACGCCTCTCTTGCACCAGGGCATGGAAAAAACATAGACCAAATAGCAGTTTCTCCCAAATCTGACAAAAAAGCACAATATTAAAATGATGATGATGATGATGATGATGATGATGAAGGAGAAGGAGAAGGAGAAGGAGAAGGAGAAGGAGAAGGAGAAGGAGAAGGAGGAGGAGGAGGAGGAGGAGAAGGAGAAGGAGAAGGAGAAGGAGAAGGAGAAGGAGAAGGAGAAGGAGAAGGAGAAGGAGGAGGAGAAGGAGAAGGAGAAGGAGAAGGAGAAGGAGAAGGAGAAGGAGAAGATGATTATGATGATGATGACAAAAACGATCAACGTGAAACAAAAGCTTTCACGCGCGGGAAATTTCAACATTTGCGACAACTTCTCTCCGATGACGTTTGAAAAACGTAGTCAACGACGGAGCAACAAAATCAAACCGCTTTGTTTCAGTAAACAAAAGACTGAAAAAATAACACTTTCTTTTGAACTGCCAGCCATTTCTAAAACACGTCTCAAGGCCATGACAATGACCTTACCCGAGGTTGGTGCTAAACTTCTCTAACAGCACGTGTTGTATACTTGTGCAACTTTTCGGAAAGGGTAAACGACACAAATCGATCTCAGTATAAAAGCAGATTCTCCGTCGGCGATGAATACACTGAAAGGAATATGAAAACAAAGGACTTAAAAAAAAAATCGCACTTCCCTGTGTTTTCTGTGTGATGTCCGGCGTAGAACCTTTATGCGAAAACACTGCCGATTGGAAGAGTTTATTAACTCCGGCTTCAAGTAAAAATTAAACGCTTCTCTAACAGCCCTACGATGCTGAAATTCTGTAACCTTCCGGACAGAGTTAAACGAAAATAACCGATCCATAAAAAGCAGATGTCCAGTTGGTTATGAATACGAATAAGTAAACAAAAGATTGAAAAAAATAATCGCGCCTCCTTTTCAATGGCCCGCGAAGTTTAAAACAGGGCTCAAGTCCCCACACTTACTGATAAAATTTATTGCTCTCTGTAAGTAAAAACCACACGCGCTTGTTGCGTAACTCCTCTTTCATGCAAGTGCTGTATAATGCGCAACTATTCGTTTTTAGATGAAGTAAAAGGAACACACCTGTTTTATTCAAAGCGCGTTGTCGCGCAAAGAGAAAGCCGGTTGTTTCAGAACGTATTCTCGGTGGCTTCGGAAACTATGACTTTAATCTTTGGAGTAACGGAGTAAAGTATCGGCAGAAATCTATGCACGCGGCGGGTTCATGCAAAAAATAAAAGCAATGATGGAACTAAAAGATCAAGTTTTCAGTTCACTGCCTCAATGCTTGATGTGTTAAGAAGCTGAGGCAAAGACTAACAATTTGTGAACGTCTGTACTGCATATGAAAATGCATCTTCTAGAAGAATAGCTCTCCAAAGCTCCTGAATGAGAAGCTATAGACTATTTCACGCGGTACCCTTGTGAAATTTCAATTCTTTACAGATCAACTAGCACTCCCCACCCCCGTGGAACGCACGTTTTTCACGCCGAAGGTTTCCAATTATTCAAACAAGCTTCGGGTTGGTCTGGGAAGGAGTCACCCAGAACAAAAGAACTATTGTTTGATAGGCAAATTCAGGTCGGTAAAATAGACATCTCTTGATACGGAAAGGAAAACACTACAGACTCCTGGGGGTGCTAGAGAACGTTCGACTGGATGAACGGCTGGGCCAGGCGTGTGCAACTAAAGAGTATCTACGGAGGATATCTATTATATGGTCCAGCCCCCTATCTGATTGTAACCGTGTAAAGGCAACTAATCAGTATGCACTCCCGGTGCTGCGGTACTTAGTGTGAACACAGCATTGGACTCTATCAGAGTTAAGAGATGTGGACAGAGCAGCTCGGAAGATCATAGTTGAGAACGATGGCAAGCACCCAGCTAGCCTAACTTCTTTGTTATATCTGCCAAGGGAGAAAGGGGGTAGAGGCCTACGATCAGTCGAACACAAGTACAAGATCATTAAAATCAAATTGCTACTGAAATTGTATCAGAATTCGGACCGGACTGTGGAAGCAGTTAGAATTGGAAGAACATGCTATGGCATTAGGCCACCCGTCGCTTGTAAAGAAAACAGCTAAGTACGCTGAAGAACTCAACATCACACTTCAGCTTGATATCCAAAATCCCGTGTGTGTTACAAAGGAAGGAAAGGTGGTGAATGCAGCAAGAGCTGGGAACCTGTTGAAGAAATCTCAAGAGATGCAGTTCTTGGAGGTCGCTATAGACGAAAAGTGACAAGGAAAGTTATTCCGTATCAGATGAGAAGATGAGAGCCTAAACACAACCAGCTGCTTTGCATGGTTAAAAGGTTGGGCTACACGCCCTACATATACAATCGCGGGCATGTATGAACTGTATGAGCAGTTGTTATCTACGAAGCTCTACACAAAGGAGAAGACGCAAACCTCCACCGACGGCGAAGTCCTATGCAGGTTATGTGGGAAGGTAGCTGAGAGCGTTGCACATGTACTGGCTGGATGCTCCTACCTGGCACAAACCAAGTACCAATACAAGCATAATGCAGCTTTAAAGATTCTGTTTTTTGAGCTCCTGCGAGAGCATGGGTTAATAGAAGAGGTTCCACCATGGTACTCACCGGTGATGCCAAAACCAGCCTACCAGAACACCGCGAGTGAGGCGTTTTGGGATATTCCAATCTATGCAGAGCACAACGAAGTTAGAGCAAATCGGATCGACGCGCGACTTGTCAGCCACGAGAGGAAAGAAGTCTGCACCATTGAAATGAGCTGCCCATTTATCGAGAGTAGAGCCAAGAAAGTTGAGGAAAAGACACTCAAGTATGGGCCCGTGATGTGGGAGCTGAAGCAGAGATACAATGGCTACAGGGTTGAACAGTACAACGTAATAATTGACGTACTGGGTAGTTACTCTAAACACCTAGAGAAGTCAGTGAGGAAGCTACTAGGAGCGAGATGCGTACGTACTTTAGCGGATGCAGAAGTCGGTCATCTCAAACACTTTGAACATTGCCCGAACACTTAAGATAAATACTTAGTCAGGGCGCTAAGGACACCAGATTTTAGGTTATTTTTGTTCTCCAGAAATCCAGAAACACAAGTGTCGCAAAACCTGTATTTTACTGATGTTTACGGGGATTTTCTAAATGATTCTAAATAGGCTTTTAGTAGAGATAACCACATTATGATGGCCTCGTGTAGGTTTATAAGAGATAATGAGAGTATTAAAAATTGAATAATTCTCTAAATAGGCTTCTAGTAGAGATAATTATATCATCATGTCTTTGCGTAGGTTTTACAGAGTATAAGAATTTAATAATATTCTAAATTGGCTTTTTACGTAGAGAGATTCATTTCATCATGTAGATTAGGATTGTATTAGGTTTCGTACCGAACTTTTTCTATTTCTAAGAATAGCTTCTCAAGTGGTGTAGGCTACGTTATGCACCCTATACTACTCATAATGAGGACAGCATTCCAAAGTTTTATACTGCGAGATAATAATGATTTGTAACTCTAGGAATGACTGTTTTTCTCCGCAATCAGCCATCTTCTGATGCTCCGTAAGCTATAAAACACTCTAGGCTTATACGGCGTATGATGTATTCCGAGTTTTAGTCGCGAAGATTTACGGCTGGAATTAAACAGAAACAGGGACCTTAAGCTACTACAATGGATATGGCAGCAGAGAAGTAAACTTATACACAAGTCTGTTTAAATGTACTTACAGGAGCTTTGGCAGCGCATCCAGTAAAGAACTCTTGATCAGAAATTGGATCACTGAGGTACGACTGTAGCAGATTTTGACGCAGCCCTGTCGGGGGCTCATTCGTCATTTTGACGCCATTCTGAAGCACGGTCACAGGAAACTACAGATAAAAAAAAACAACAACAACAACAACAACAAATTAAAAGAAGAAGAAAAAAACTCTTGAGAAGAATTACACTTCTTTAAACTCCTATTTAGAGAAATGATTTGACCTTGAAAATAGAGCTAATGGAATCTAAACGCTACCAGTATATCGATCAACCTAGTAACTATCCCACTGGGGATAGTTACCAGGTTGTGGACCCAGTGCGGTGTTGTTACCTTGTCTGACGGGTAACTAGTAAGCCATAACCTGAAGTCTTGATGGGTAGTTTCTGGTGACAAGTCTTCGCAAATCTTCTCCAGTGAAGTCATCCACGACACTGCTAAGTGGCAATTCTGGAGTACAACCCAGCTTCCGTCCTTAACTGCGTTCTCTATTAAACGTGCAGCGACAGGGCCCTGTAAACAATTCAACAAATAGTATAGCGTTCGCGTTTATTTCTTCCCCCTCTCTACCATCATAGCCTCAACTCAGCCTTACTTCTCTAAACATCTAAAACAAACACTTAATCACTTGATCATGGACATTGAGAACAATACTGTTTTGTGTACCTGTCCCTGGCCGAGAGAGATGGCGTTAAATTTGTCGCCATTGAAACCTTTGTCAGCAGCAAACTTCATCAGTCCTTGAAAAACAAGCAAACAAAACAGGAATTTTAAAAAAAGTAATAAATAAAGAGAAAACAATGTTATTAGCAAACAGCAACAGCAACAAAGCAAGCACAGTTCTACTTCGTAAGTTATGTAACGTAAAGTAATAAGCAAGAGATCTTGATACGTAATAGTACAAATAATGTTGTTATTGTTATTTACAATTGTTTAAGTTCAGACAACTGTTAGTCTTAAAGGATAAAATAGTAGCTAACTGTAATAACCAACCGGCCATGGGATCAGCTCCAGGGGACAGCACGAAGATAAGAGGTGCACAGCAATTTGAATCCACGTAGCTCTTGGCCAAGTCAAACGGTGGCGGCTGTACAAATTTGCTGCCAAGTTTGTCTTCCACAAAATTAGTTACAAGTGGGACGACCTATCAAAGAAACATGATGGACTAGTGAATGATGCGTTCTGAAAAAAATTGGGTTTTACTGCAAGGAAGTAAACTATGTGTGGATCATGTAGAAGCTTCAATATGTTTCACAACGTCAAAAGTTGATTGCTATTATCGTGGTAAGGTGGTATAAGGAACTTTGGATATGAATGCTGACGCTTCGACTCTGCTGCTAGTCTACGATTGAACAAATGTCAATAATTGGATGTGATGGCGAACATTGGTTTGAGACTACCGTGTGGCACGAAATTTTTGCGGGTTCTAATTTTTGGGATTTTTGCGGTTTTTCTTGCGATCCGCAAAAATACGTTCCCGCACACACTTTTCCCACAAAAATTTACTCCAGAGTAAATATTCTCTAACTTAAATTCGCTACCCAAAAATACAGTACTAAGAAATCGTGTCTGTTCAATCACAATTTGCCTCTTTCATTCAGAAACAACAAAATACTGGTTTATTGCTTAAAAATATGTTTTCCTATTGGACGTACTTAATAAAAACGAAAATAATACAATGCTGGGTACTGGGTACTTTCTGAAAATCGCAAAAATTAATTCCCAGCAAGAAAAACCAATCTGTTCTAATCGCAAAACTTAGTTTCCGCAAAACACCAGGTTGATCCGTTGGCATTTACGCTTCAAGAATTTCAGCTCTGCTATCCTTGTTAAATTTGGTTCTATGCAAGTAAACTCTCTGCGATTAAACCCTGTGGATCTACTAAGCGGCAACGCCTACATTGCTAAAAGCAGAAGTATGACCGAGAAATTCGATTCAACTGTGCCCAGCCCCCCGCCATTTCAGAGCTCCCACGCCAAAGCGATCTAACCAGCTTTGGAACCTGATTACATTTACTAGCCAAGAATTGCACTGATATGGCGGTTCACACAACACTTCCCACGTTATTACACTACATCTGACGAAATGTGGCGTCCTATTTTTGAAGTGACTATAACATGTAACAAAGATAATATACTCTACCATTCTCTACACTATCTTACGTAGATAAGAAACAAATCTTATTTGTCTACTCAAGTGCTGATCAATTAACACAAACGTTCTGTGGTATATGGCTTGTGTAACGCAACACTGAAGCATTGGAGGAAAGTCTTAAGACGTGATAACGAAAATGATTTGGTAGTTTCGGGTGCCTCAGTTCAGCCATTTAAGAACTCACCTCCGAATTGCCGGCAAGCACGCGCGTTTTATGTATCTAAATCTTTCCAAAAGCTTACATCAGAAGTTCGTCTTGTTGAGGCTGGCTTCACAGATCAGACAATTACGGCGTTGTCTGTTCTTCCATTCAAGCTCACAAAAAACAGAAAGATTTCTATGTTTCAGTTTAAAATAAACCATCACATCCTGTACACTCGCGACAAACTTTTCAAGGCCAAAATTACTGACAGTGACTCCTGTTATGTGTGTGAATCGAAGCAGACCGTAGAGCGTCTGGTTGTAGAATGCCAGCATGTTCACTCCTTCTGGAACCTCTTTACCTCTTGGTGGAACGATAATAACTCGTCCTCAGTGTCGTTGACCGATAACGATAAGATTTACGGATATCTCCCTGAGAATCGATCCTTCCATACGTTTAATCTTTGCCTGATAGTAGCTCGGTTTTATATCTACACCGAAGCCAAAGAAAGCGAACCATATAGTTTCTTAGCCTTTAAAGCTGTTCTAAAATACAAATTGTCTATAGAACCTTCAAGGGTGAATCTTTCAGCCTCTAGCCGAAATTAAGCTTGACTTGTATAGTTATTTCTGTTATTGAGTTGTACTTTTTTATTTATCTATCTAACTATTCATTTTTTGTTGTAATTAATAATTGCAACCTGTATACCTTGTATCTTGTCTGTTCCTATTATTTTAGTTTTGTAATGTCATTCTTTGTTTGTTAATATTGTATATTGTATTGTACTTACCAATAAGCTTCAATACTCAAAAAAAAAAATACTGATCAATACAACTCTAAGTAATAAAAAAGCATTACATATACAAAAACATTTTAAGGCAGACAAAAGTAACAGAATATTAGCGGAGCTCGACGCGCGGGCGGAGCCGCATTGCTAAGAAAATCTATCCATTGTAGAAAATTTGGTAATCACGTGAACGTACACCAAACGACCGACCGTCTATCTGCATCATAGGGAAACCAATGTTTACCCCCTTACTTTCTAGCTAGTCTGGGAGCCCAGGAGAAAACTGATTGCACATCAATATTGTGATCAATTGACAGCTGTCAAAACAGGGTATCCGCTGACCAGTATCACATGACCGTATCGCGGGCTCAGGTGTCTACTCATCGAGGTCGAGTATTTTGTGAAGTTATCGGCTGACAATTTACTAGTTTTCAAATGATCGCAGGCTCAAGTTAATTTTCTTAACAAAATTCATATGAGATATGTTGTTTTATGTCACTATGGCCCCGCACTGTTAAGATTTTGATTTCAAACTGACCCCCGACGCGAAGATCCAGCCAGTTATTTGACCTTTTCTTACCATGGTCACGCGTTGGTTACGCTCTACGTCCAATTTGTATGCTCTGATTGGTCAAATTTTGACAGGTGAGTTCATGCGCAAAATTTACGCAGCATCTTGAAACTTGTCTACCTCGACAGCTGAAGCTGACAGAGTTTTGTGTCAACTTGTGATGTTTTTAACGGTCTTTTTCCACTGGATGTACAAAATGAAATATAGCTGCTATCAGGAGTCTTCTGTTATTTATGGCTGGTTTGTTTATTGGGTTTTTGGTTGAGAAATGCATCGCTTGACAAAGTCGGAAATCCGATTTCGGATGGCATCTTTTACGTTTTTCACCTTGCTTGATGCGTAAGAGGGTTTAAAA